ATCTAAGTGACCATATGAGATTATATGTTTATGTAATAACATGAGACAGTAAAATAAGTTCAATGATATTGATCTACGTGATTATGTGAAAAAGAATATAAACTATGTGGTGATGAGCTATGAGAATGCACAAGAATGTTATTTGATCTACGTGATAAGAAGTTATGAGACTACATGTGAAATGATATAAGTTATGTGATGATTTATGTGACTATGTGAATATGTGACAAACATAAAGGATAATGCCCATGTTATGTGATATGAGAGATAGGGGTATAGTTGGCATGCCAAGAGTTGAGGGTTCTATGTGGTCCTTCAGGACATATATGTAATCCTTTGGAACATATATGTGGTTCTTTGAGACACATATTTGGTCCTTTGGAATATATATGGTCCTTAAGAAGATTTCTATGTGGTCCTTCGGGACATATATGTGGTCCTTTGGGATATACCTATGTGGTCCTTCGTGACATACCTATGTGGTTGTTCGATACATTCTATGGCACTTCGGTGTAATTATACGAGCTGTGGTGACAGCATTTGTGCACAACCTCAATGTACTCACATATCTTTAGTTCTCACAAGTGTACCATGGGCTAATAAAAGAGATAACATAAATAAACTAAATATGATGTTATGTGTTTGCTTTGTGAAATTGTATTATATGATGTATATGAGTGTTAAGGACAAGATTATAGGATTAGAGAGATTAATGGTAATAATATATGATAATCATAAGATGTAGATGATGATATATGTGCATGTATGTATTTGTTACATGAAAAGGTGTATGATTTTGTATGATATGATAGTATTAAATGTTCATGCATTGTTAGGAGTTAATATGTTTTATATGCCTCACTAAGTCAATGACTTAGCGTGTGAGTGTTTCACACGTAGGTTGCAATGAGATTAAGGAGCAAGACAAGTCAGCTTCTCATTTCCAGATATCATATCAAAAATGTATTTGAATAGTATGTATTTTGTTATAAGGAATGTAGTTGGCATGTAAATAGAGATTTGAATTTTATACTCTCTGATCAATTTTGTAAAATCATATAATTGTAATTAATGAAAAATGTTAATTTTTCTTAAAATGTGAATTTGAATATTTACCTAATTTGTAAAGAAAAACGTTTGAAAAGTCAATGTGACACCTCGGATTCGTATCCGGGTCGGATACGGGTTGGGGGTGTTACAGGGCATTCCAATATGGATCCAAAATTTAGATCGATGATTCCAAGGTTCAAGTGGATCAAGATATGAGTTCTCGGGTAGTCTCCATTATCATAGCCATCCATTGTGCTTAACACTTAAGCGTATCATCGTCATTTCATTCAAATATGTTAGTGGCATACTTTTGATAAATTAGGCTTGAATGAATTCTAGTTCCTTTAGCGTTCATGGTATTTTGTTCTTTTGATCATTGAAGGTTATTATAGTTACTACGAAGCTCAAGGACATTTCAGTAATTCCTTTCAAATCAATCCTAAGCAGATTTTCTGATAATTGATCCAATATGTCCTTTCGGAGTTATTTTTCAAATCAATCCTATGCAGATTTTCTGATAATTTTACGTCAGAAACTGAACTTAATCGAAAAACCAACTTGAATATGAAGATAAATCATTGAAAACGGCTTACCGGATGCGAATTTGGAAAAACGGACCTCAAATTCAGACTCAGGGCGTCACAAAACATAAAATATGACATTTTCAAAAAAGTTAACTTTTTGGTCAAAGTCAAAATCAACGGTCTAATCGGTCAAAGTCAACAGTCAACGGGTTGACTCGATCAAAGTTAACGAGTTAACTCAGTCGAGTTGACTCAGTTACTGGACTGGACTAGGCGAGTCAGGTCGGATCTGACAAGGGGGTTCGGTCGGGTCGAATCAGACATACGGGTCTGGTCAACCCAGTTCTAGAAATTTTCCCAGACCAAAACAAGCCCCCACACACCGCCGACGCATGGCGGCGCGTGCGACAACGACGGAGGCAGTTCCGCGCTTCCGATTACACCCTGCTCAAGCACTTGACCAAATCAATCCAACATCATCAACAATCAGCCAAAATCATGATTGAAATACCTATAAAAGTGACCAACGACTTACCCACGGCGATCGAACGTAGCAGCGACAGTGAGGAGAGGATCCTTATCAGATTTTGTAAGGAAAGAGACGAGGAACACGACGGTACAGGCGATGGGTTTTCGTCGCTACTTTGATCTTCGATTCATAGCTGACGGCAGCTTTTCACGGTAGGAGGGTGGTCAGGTTTTGATCATCATTCGATGGTGAGTCTATTGGTGGTGTCAGAGCGACGAATGGTGGCCAGACGGTGGTTGATTTGGAGAGGCCGGCGAGGCTTCGGTTGGGGGAGGATTTTTAGGGATTGGATAATTTGGGGATTTGTTTTCTTACTAATCGGGGGAATATGTTTAATCGGGTTTATTTTTCACCATTAAGAGAAAATGGGAAAAATCAAGACTAAGTCCCTGAATTTCCTGTACTTACTAAAATTATCCATAAGTTTCAGAAACTCATAATTTAACCCCTAATTTGAGGTGTTACAGATCTAGCGCAAGTTGACGAGCCTTATGTCTAATTTTAGTGGGACGATCAATTGAAAAGAAGAAATTACATTGGGTAAAATGGTCGACTGTGTAAACCTAAAAGTTTGGGAGGCCTTGGTATTACCGATTTGGCAGTGCAGAATCGTGCCCTCTTAGGGAAGTGGGTATATAATTCGCAAACGAGAAAAGACATGTTATGGTATATGGTGGTAAAGTGCAAGTACAAGTTTGATAGTTCTGGCCTTCTCCTTGATTGGCCCTTGCGTAATCGTGACTATTGGGTATGGAAAGGTGTGATCAACTCATTCTTTAATGATGACCATTTGGGAAAATGTAGAAGGGATAATATTTCCTTCATTGTAGGGGATGGAAGATCCATCTGTTTTTGGGATGCTTGGCTAACTGTTTCCCCTCTTAAAGTTATGTTTTCTCGTATTTTCGCCCTTGCCTGTGATAAAGAAGGGTATATTGCAGATTTGGTAACCAAAATTGAAGAAGGGTGGTCATGGAACGTAAGGTTGGGAAGGCAATTGTTCGGTTGGGAACACGAACAGTGGGTGGAACTATTGGCATTGCTTGGTGATTTTAGGCCTAATGGAAAACCTCAAAGAACTAACAACTGAAAGTAATCTTTTGTATATTGAGTAAAAGTGTGTCTTCTATAAGTACAGGAACCTTACTTATATACAGTTTACATGGCAACCACCTAGCTTACTAACAAACTGACTAACAGACTGCTAACAGCCCCTCAGCTAAACACACGTGACCTCTAATAAGGCCAAGCAATTTTAATAAAGAATGGATTTGTTGGTCTGAGTCTAATGAAGGAAAGCTTTCTGTTTGTTCATTTAAAAGTTTATTATTTAGGTTCTCGGATGATGCTTTTGATTGGAACAGATTTGTGTGGACTGGAGCAGGTCGAATTGTTAATGTGGATGGTCATTCAAAATCGAATTCCAGTTCGAGAGGAACTAGCAAAGAGACAGATTGGATCAGTTGCTGACGTGGAATGTCCCTTTGTGGTACGCACCTAGAATCGATTGCTCATCTGCTATTTTCATGCAAAGTTTCTTGGTTAATCTGGATGTCCATCGCGAAGTTTTAGGATCTCTCCCTTGCCTTTCATGAGAATCCTAAATCTTTCATTTTGGAGTGGCATGAGGTAGCATCTCTATCCCTAAGAATTCTGTTTGGCACCTTATTTTGTCTGCCATATTGTGGTCTGTGTCGCTGTTTCGAAATGAAAAGGTTTTCCAAAATTGTAGCATGGACGTCCTTCAGCTCTGTTTTCTAGTTAAATGTTGTCTGGCTTCTTGGTTTATAGCTAAGCACCCGAAGATGGTTCTGTATGCGGATGATATTATTAGGAATTGACAGATTTAGTGCATGAGCGTTCTAACCCCTTCATTATAGTGTCTTGGTCAGCTTCCCCAGTGGGTTTTATTAAATTGAACGTGGATGGTGCCATGCCTAGAAATGGTGGTTCTGGTGGAATAAGAGGGATTTTCAAAAATAGCGATGGGATGATCATTGGATCGTTTTCAGCCCCCATTGGTCGTGGTCCCCCGTCTTTGCTGAGCTTTCAGCGTTAAAACACGGGCTAGAATTGTTCTTACCAGACTTTCTGCATTTCGGGTTGAGGCTTATAGTAGAGAGTGATTGCACGGCAGTAGTTGATTAGGTGCTTAACATCGACTCAAGCCCTGCGTTTTTCTTGCCTTTGGTTACTTCGATTGCAGACACTATTAAGGCCGAGAGTGTCTGCCTTAGACTGATTCAGAGAGCAGGGAACATTGATATTGATGCTGATGCTCTTGCTCTTGCTAAAAGTGGAATTTTGTTTGTTTTCGATTGTATGATTTTACTAGGTGTTGTGTTTATATTGTTTTTTGCTTTATTTTTTTTCTGGACTGGATGCATTTGACCCTGAGTTGGAAGTTTTTAAAACTATTGTTTCGAGCACTCTTTTCTTCCTCCCGCTATCAAGATCGGCCTTGTTATGAAAGGAGATTTTAACGATACCTCTTCTATATAAAAAACACACAAATCATCCCGAATCCAATTTGACTCATGTAGAATCATTAAATTAACTTGACATAACTTGTCTCGATTTAACTTAACCTGAAGATTCCACATCAATAATTTTGGGTGAAACGCCAAAATAATATTTCTTAAGAATATATTCGGGATATAATTTAAAAGTATAGAAAAGAAAAGCAATGGTTCGAATATGTCATCAGTCCTTATGCTTTGATAAATTTTGAGATTTAGCCCATGTACTTAAAAAGTTGGGAATTATATTTTCTTGGATGGCTTTCGGGAATTTAGATTTCTAAATTCCGTTTTAAATTTGAAAGAGTGTTAATAAAAATAGGAAAATGGTTTAGATATCTTTCATCTAATCCTGCATTTCTCCAAGGTCTTAAATTGTATACTTTCAACCATTTTCATTTCTTATATAAGGAAAATGGTTTCATTTAGGGTGACCACATACAATACAGATGAAGACCTATTGATCCTTACCCTCATCAGAGCTATCAGATCTATCCGTATCACAGCTTAGGTCATCAAAAAACTCCCGATCGGTGAAGAATGCCCATCCTCTGGAGGCTTATAGTCTTTTCCCCTCCACACAGCAACCTGCTCCTTATCAAATGCCATAAGGATACAGGGAACCAGGTCCTGTATGAAAACCGAAGTTGTCGGATTCGAGAACAAATATACTAGTTCAATAATGCAAGGAACCAAGGGCAAGCTAACTCCACAAAGCTATTGAAAATACAGATATGTATTCTAAGACTGAAAGCTCAATGACTCTTTAATGTGCTAGTGCAAATCAGATCAGAATTAAGCCAGTTCCTTCAGCAAACAAAGTTATGATAAACAGAATATTTACCCTGAGCTTGCAGCCTATTTTCTTGTAATCACTTCTTTCAAGTCTAGTGCAGTCTATACGCACCAGCTCACTGACCAGAAAAGCATCTCTAACCATGGGTACTAAACTACTATCATACCCATTCTTGGCTGCAAATTTTATTTGTGATCAATAACCACGTAAAAGCAAGTCAAATACCGGCAGCCAGCAGTAAGAAACAAATGGTACCGAGTTTCGTTAGAGCAGGAACAGCCAGTCGTCTCTTTTTCTTCTCTTTTGTTTCTTCGATGCTTAGACCATCAATAGTAGTTTTAATCAACCTGGATAAACAGGTTCCTGAGGTTTCCACAACATTAAAGGAATTACAGGCCTTTTCTTGCAATTATAATTCCTGCCTCTGTACAAAATAAGTGTACCACCATGCCTCTGGATGATCTTTCCAAATGTTTTATCCTGCAATAGTTATTCAAAATCCATTATGAAAGAAAGTACCTCATGGTTACTTTCATGTATAATACTTCAATTCATGATATTCGAAGAAACAAGTACATATACGGAGAATACAAAACACATACATGAGATCATAGTGTGGGAACCCATCACATCCAGAAACATAAAGATATTAAAAGGAAAAGGAAATCCCTTCCCTTGAAAATGCTTGAGCTGAGCGTAGTACGCTGTTTATACCTCAAGCTGCCTGCATACATTCTTCATGTCAACAGTAGGGACCCCAAGACACTTGATCCTCACTGTTTCAGCAAATTTCCAATGATTATGAATATCGTTCAGCATGTTATAAGTTAAACCATCTCTCCCTACAGGAGAATACAAAACAGCATGCCATAATACAACCGCTGAGATTAAGGATAGCAAATGCAATGAAAAACTCACATAAGCTAAAGAGGATGTTATGACCCAAGAGAATCGGAGAAGAACAAGAATCGAAGAAATAGAAATAGAGATGAAGAGAAGAAGATTTTGAGAAGAAAGAGAGCTTGAAGAAGAGAATAATTTCATTCAATTTTCAGATGATTTCCTCTTGGTTCAGTACACGTTTTATTTGTTAACATTGTACAATTCTAACCAATTTACCAGCTGGCAGTACAGTTTTCTAACAGAATTCTTTCTCCTGCAGGTGCTACTGGCATGATTCCTTCCCCTGATTTGGTCCATCAGGTAAGTGACTAACCCTTCTAATTTTGTATTCCCAATTACCCTAATTTTCTCAATTGAAATCCCAAACCCTACTTTCATTCCCCCAATTCTCCCCCGGCTTCTCCAATTGTTTCTATATCTCTACTACTCATGACAATACCCCCTCCATGAAAGGATCCTTGTCCCCATTGATCAAAAACTAGGAATTGTGCTTTAGGCACAATATAGTTTACCCTAGTGACGTTTTCTAGCCTTAAGTTCGTCCATTGCACATGATTTTGCTTCTTCTCCATATGTTTGTCGAGCACCATAGTCAGGGGACCTTCAACTTTCCCTCATGTCCAAACTGGGAAGGATCCAATGAGATAACGCTTTGATCTCCAAATTTTTTCTTCAACAAACTGGTATGAGTTACTAGTTGCACCCTCGAGGACTTGGGTAATAATTATACGCTACTAACCCCATGCATTGTTTTTTATAGAAGTTGGAGGTCTCATTAAAAACTCCCTTCGTATTCGTTCACATACTAAGAAGTATGTTAACGAACATTGGAAGGAAGAAAATAGTACCTCCAAGTTTATTAATAATAATACCCAATACAAAAGATAACACGGAATATCCTCCTATGGTGATATTCACCATTACAACAAACACCTTAAGCTCATAAAACCTCATCCAAAGTCACAATCGAATCACCTTATTTCTAAATACACCTCCAGCAATAGAATTAAAACAACGCAACAGAACATAATACAAAGGGACGCAACACCTGCAACCATATAAACTAAATCAAAACACAATTAGAGAGACAAGATCTAATGAGATTCGTCTTCTTCAGGAGTCCAAGAGTTTGGCTTGAATGAAGGCTCTATCTCATGCACCATGATCTTGAAGGAGTTGTCACCAACCTTTAATTCCAACGTCGCATCAATTCTCGCACCAGCCTTTGCGAGGACTTGAATTTTTGCCCGATCAAAGGATGATGGTGACTGACAGCTTTCATCGATTGCTAATAACTGACCCCAACAATCAACAATGTTCTTGAAAGTATCCAAATTCCATACGTGAAACGGAACACCCTCGCAAACTAACCATACTCGGCGACACTCCATTACCAAACTCTCTGACCAAGCTTCGACTATGGAGAACCACTCTGCGAGAGTCTTTGATTTATCGTTCTCAACACTTCTCAATGAAGCAGAGTCTTCGAAAATCATTAATATTGCATTACCAGCAGCTCTCATTAAGGAGAAGCCAGTGAGGCCCTTTGCATGCATTTGTCTAGCGAGATGACCGATTTTGATAAATTCTTTGCACCATCCCACTAGACAATTGCTCAACACCTGAAGTTTTTCTTCATCTATAACGCCTTCAGCTTTATAATGATTCTTCCTCGAATCATCTCCCATCTCGGACTTACGAAAAACACCTGTCGAGGACTTTCTCCAATAGGAATGTCGAGGTTTGAATTTAGCGAAAGAACTCCAATTTTGCTGCCGTCGATATGATAGCCATTCATTTTGAGATCGCTCTCCTTGCTTCTTCGATTGATATGAAGCGAATGAAACCAAAGCGAACTCCTTTGAATTCCTTTTATTTGGAATAAAAGCATCAAGTACCCGACCGTGAGAGCAAAATAAAGATCCAAACCTCTTCAAATGGATCTTCTCTGGTAAATTCTCAATAAATAACGTGTAACATCCAGAATTGTCATTACTGCACCCCTTTGTGGTGGACTCCCCGATTCCCTCGTGGACACCATCTACTGCAGACTTTTTAACGCAACACCCAGTTTTAACAGGCACATGAGTACTAGGAGATCCTACAGAAGCTGGATTTGGCAATGGCAATACTGGATGAACAGGAAAACGTCCATTGTCAAAAGCATCAGAATCAGAAACTAATCCTCTTTTAACAACAAGATTCTTCCTTGCCATCTCAATGTGCAAAAGAGACTTCAACTTAGCATCAAAAGCCATTTTCTGAAGGACATCCTTGGCAACAACCGCAAATTTTGCATTTGAGAAGAGAGCGAAACCCTTAGGCTTTTCTCCCTTGAAGTTCAATTGCGAATCTTCATAACCTGGAAGCCATCTAAGTAGATTCTGTAGCTCTTTCTCTTTGACGTCTTCAAGCAGACCCATAATGAAGATAGTACGAACCTCGTCAGGATTAGAAGGGTGAGATGGCGGAGAAGGTGCAGCTGCAGAGGGTGTATGAGCATGGACCGAAGGTCTCTGCTGGAGAGAAGAGTGGATTCCAGCACCCAGCATGTGATGAAAGACTGATGAAGTGAAAAACCCAGATACTTGACGAACTAATCTGGAAAAAAAAATTCCCAGAATAAGAGCTCAGAGTTGAATCGGCAGTGTCGGAGGAAATCCACTAATAAATGAGTCTGAAGACTGGGACGGCAGAGGAGAAAAGCAGAAGGTTTGGAGCAGTGAACGTCTGTTCTTGCTGAAACTGCTCACTGTAAAACTGCTCACTGCGTCTGTTCTACCGGCGAAGTAAACTGAAGTCTACGTATCACCCCTGGAAATAAAATTTCCAGAACAAGAGCTCAAAGCTAAATGGGCAGTGTCGGAGGAAATCCACCAATAGATGAGTCTGAAGACTGGGTCGGCAAAGGAGAAAAGCAAAAGGTTTGGAGTAGTGAGAGTCTGTTCTTGCTGAAACTGCTCACTACAAAATCATGGAGAGATGCAACTATTCTCGACACTAAGAAAATGGGTTATGGTCGCAGAAAGGCTCTAAGTACGGAGGAGATGCGATGTCCGGTGTACGTTCAACGGATGGAGACGAAAACGGCCGTGAGCGGCGTTTAGATCTACAACGAATAAAAGTCTTAATCGGAAAACCAAACCCAGAATAGGAAACACCTTGTGCTGGCGATCTTCCCAGGAAAAAACGGCTTCAAATGGTGGTCGGTGGATGACGGCTGACGACGGCGGCGGCGGGTGGCGGACGAAGGCGGCGGACGACTGGTGGTTGTCGGCGGAGAGACGCCTGGGCTCGTGGAAATTTGAATTTTGAAAACGCCTAGGTTAGAGAGAAGTTGGAGCTTCGGACCATAGAACCTTGCTGCCCTCTTTAATCCCTTTCGAAGAGCAAGTGAGGTTTGATAGTAAGACTAGAACTTCAGGTAAATTCTATCCCTGGCATTTAGATCTCTATCTGTCCATTTTGTATTCGCATAAATCTTCATCCTTCCTTGAGTCTTCTGAAGTTGTTGTTTTAGTACATGATTCTCGCTTTCTCTAGTGTCTAGCATTTTCTGTACTGATTGAACAATAGACTGTCTACCATTTTCCTTACTCACGGTTGCAACAATCAACACTGTTATTTTAAATTCCCATAATATTTTCATGCTGTTGGTAGCCACTTCCGAGCTGCAACCTTCATATATGCAACTAATTAGAATTGTACCAGGGAATCTAATCTCAACATGCTCTTTGACTTCTACTTGATCTTTTCTGCCTTTGGTGTTGCCTTCCCCTCCTTTTAGGACATTCCCCTTCCTTCAGATGATCATTGTCCCCAAGGATCAAACACTTTCTGCTTTACAAATATTTGCATCGCATTTTGTTTCCTAAGGTCTAATACGAAATATATAGTCATTTTGGCACAAGATGCTACATTTCTAGTAACACCACTAGGAATTTGGATAACTTTTATCCCACACTTTGTATCAACATTGTTGTTATCGTATTCAGTGGAATCAATTGTCACAAAATCCTTCTTTTGTGGTTCTATTGATTCATGGAACAAATGTTTGACATCAAAAGGACATTGCTCAATCTTTGTAGGGGCTTTATGCCTTTGTCCGAAAATATAAATTGCATCTGATGTTGGACTGTTAGCAGCAGGTTTATCAACTTCAACATTCCCAAACATTCTTCAAAATCCCAAACTCTTGAACTTGTGAAAAAGACACTACTCCAAGATAAATTCTTGTGAAGATCATACTTAGGCTCAAAGCCATCAGTCTTTGTTCTTTTTTCATGTTGCTTTAGTTCTTCTTTCGAAGCTATAATTAACCTTAAGACATAAGCACTAAATTTTTGTGGTGCTAAAAGATAGGTGATCATGTTCCTACCAAGCTTCAGTATAGTGGCACTAGAGATTCTTCGCTCACTACCTTCATCTGCATTAAATGTACCCATCAAATTGAGATGAAGAGAATCAAGAATTATAACGTTAGGAAAGCCATTCCAAATGGTTACAGATAATGTACCCGGATCCCTATCAACTAACTCCAAGGGAGGCCTCAGATTTCCAGAATAGGTAATTAAAGATGATACCTCAAGTAGACCAGTAATAAAGACTCTCCCACTATAATGAGTAGCAATCTTTCTTTCAACTATCAAATCCATCTCGTCAGTTCTAATCTGAAATTCTAGGCAAAACATGCTTTCATACAAAAACAGAATTACTGTTGTATGAAGACTTTGATAGGCATTAAGCTTTGATGTTGCTATGTAATCTTTCATAGCTCGAGGAACAGGAGTCCATTTGCTATAGATTAATACAAAAACATAGTAGTAAATCTGATGTGGACTACAAAAAGGTAGGTCGATGTTGTCCATATCATAAACACTGAGATTGCTCCATATACCCAAATTTAATAGAGTAGAAAGCATAAGGAGCAACCTTTTATTCA